CGTGTGACGTATCCGACATATTTTTTTTTGGGGTGGCCATTGTGGCGTGCCTCTTGTTTTTTTTTGTTTTCTTCTGCTTTCTTCTGTTACTTTGATGCATTTCTTTTCTTTTTTTTTCTTTTTTTTTATTGATGGCTTTTCTTGGCTTCCTTTTTTTTTTAAACGATGGCGTTTGTCTTGTTTTTGTTGCGGTGAAGCACGAAAGGAACAAAAAAAGAGGGGGCGGGAGCGAGTGAGTGAGTGTCTTTTGTGTAATGGCTCCTCCGTCTTCCTCTGCCTGTGATCCTCGTGTTTACCTCCATGAGAGGGTTCGGCAGCACTATTTGGAGGTGCTGCCTTCACGCTGGCGTGCTGTTCTTTTCCGATTGGCGAAAAACACTCAATTGCGACAGAAGAACGATGTTATTGTTGAAACTCATCTGCTCTCCGAGATGCAAGCCGACTTTGACCTCATCCATGCATTATTGGATGAAGAGCATCGTGTCTACCGGGAGGGCGTGGCGTGTCTTTGTTCTCAAGCATCGAATGGGAAATCCGAAACGGAACGATGGACTGCTTCCCGTCATCTCCTGCAGGGGATGCTTTCTTGCATTGCGATGAAGGAGATTCTTATCGCGCACTGGAAGAACGATCTTGTGGACATTTCCCCCAACACACTGCGTGTATATTGCCATGCATGTATTTCTCATCCACACGTGTCTGAGACAGATATAGAGCGGCTTTTGGCCCTTTACGCAGTTTCCTGATGATCAGCGTTTATTTGCGGTAGTCCTCTAGTGCCTCTTTTTTTTTTTTGTGATGCCATTTATTTTTTTTTTTTTTTTGTTGTTTAGTGATGTTTCTTATTCTTATTACTTTTCTTTTTCTTTTTTATTCTTTCCATTACATTTTTTCTTTAGTTCTTGGTGGTTTTGATTGTGTGTACTGGATGCGCCGGGCATGGATGAGCTCTATGTGTTTCTCCTTGACTGCGGTGTGTCTTGTAAGGAATATGTGTTGAGTCGTATGCATGATTTCCGAGAACTGCTTGGCGTTTGGCATCAAATTGCTTTGAGGATATTTAAAAGTACGTTTTTGGCTTCTGCTGCTATATTTTTTGTGGTCCTTGTTGTGTTTGTTACCCTCATCGGATGTGTTGCCTTCTCACTTGTCGGCTCAGTGACTATACGGCACTATATCCTGTCGCACGCCCCTGGAAATCAGTTAATGTCACTTACATTTAATACAATGCCGTTTGAGACGGAATTATGGCGATTGCGCAAGGTGGATGCCATCGTGTCACATCTCACATCCCAACCGGAGTCATTGCTCCAACGCAGCGACGACTCTCTCGTTGCATCCACGAAGGAAACGACCGACAAGCAACTGACATCTTCCGTTGCGGGGCAGGCTGCCTCTCTTAAAATGTCACTCATAGAGCAGTACGTTAAAAACACACTGGCGACAAGCACGTTGATTATTCCTTCATTGGCTCAGAAAGAAGTGTTTCCTCCTGGTGGTGGTATTTCCATTGAGGCACTCTTTGAGCAAAAGAAGCCTATGTTCAATGCCAAGGGGGTGTATGACGCCAAGATGCAATTTGTTTTCATGAAGGAAGATGCGGGCCGCGACGTTTCAATGGTGTTGGAGTCCGCTGTTCTGTTTGCCCGAGGACCCC